TTAAGATTTTTAAGCTTAATTCTATCTTATTCTATTATATATACTAATATTTTAAAAATTTAAAATTATTTAAAATTATTAAAGCTTTAAATAATTTCGCTTACGAGTTAAAAGTTATAACTTTTATAAATAATATTTATTTTATCTTCTATCTATAGCTATTATATCTTAATAATAGCGATTTATTATTAAGATAAAATAAATCTTTATTATTATCTCTCGATATTAATAAAGAGAATAAAATCTAAAATATTAAAGAAATAGTTTTATTTAAATTAAATAAAAGAATAAATAAAAAAATAGTCTCTTAACTAGTAAGAGAAGATTTTAATATATAAAACTAAGTATAAAGACTTTATAATCGAGAAAAATCTATTTTAATAATTATTTATAGATATAGTAGAATATTTAGATTTAATAGCGAATTTCTTTTATTATTACTTCGAAGTCGCTAGTCTTTATTTATTATTTAAAAAATCTTTAGAATAATCTTCTCTATTAGCGCTATTAATTTATAATAGCTATATTAATTTATAAGAAGATTTCAAACTTATAATAAAATACTAAGTTAATATATTTAAAGATATTATTTTATATATATTTATAAATACTTTTTATAAGATCGACGTTTACTATATAATAATTATCGCTAAATTTTAAATTAAAGAAAGAGATAATATTATAATTTTAATTATCTTACTTATATTATAACTAAATTAAGCTTAGTATACTAAGGCCTTTTAATCTTTCTATTCTATTATAAAACCTATAAGTAAAGACTTATAAATTAAATTTATAAAGTTAAATTTTTCTAAGTTAAATCGAATTTTAGTCTTAGCTCTAAGTTAAATCGAACTCTAATCGCTTACTATACGTTTTTAATCTACTTTTATTACTATAAAATTAATTTAATCTATATAGTATATAGATATATATATACGAAGAGAGGTACGCTAAGATTTAATTAGAAAGATATATCGAGTATAGAGAATTAATTTATAATAATTATCTATAAAAAATAGAGAAAGACTATATTCTTATAATAAGAAGTATTAAAATATCGAAAAGAAATAAAGATAACGTATTAGTTAGTAATATAAATTCTATAATATCTTTTATTATAGTAAAATCTTTCGAATAATAAAATAGCTATAGATATCGAACGATTTTAATTCGTTTAAATATATATCGTTCGATATTTCTTCTATAGAGGTCGTAGTAATATATTATATTAATATAGTAGAGATAATAAATTAAGTTATAGTAGTTATTACGAGCGTATTCTTAATATACCCCTTAACTCTATAACTAGCGAGTCTTAGCGAAGATATTCTCTATTATATTATATCTTCTTTTTATCTATATAATTCGATATCTTAATTATCTTATTTAATATATCTATATTAATATTATATTTATATTAATTCTAATACTATAACTAAGATTAACTTACTTATTTTATTTATATTAGCGAATAAATTTAAAGAAATACGCTAATAAAGGCTTTAATAAGAAATTAAGTTAAGTTATTATATCTCTAAATAAATCTATTAAATAGATAAATTAATTTTAAAGAGTTTAAAAGAGATAGCGAAATAGTCTTAATAAATAGTAGTTAAGAAATAAAGAAGATATTAAACTATTCGTATAACTAGCGAATCGAAAGAAATAGTTAATATTATCTTATATTTTCATATTTAAAATATATACTAGTAGTATTACTTATAACTTTATATATTATAATATCTAGAATTTTAACGAAGCTCTAATTAGATAAAAAATAATCGAGTTATAGCTAGTTAAAGATACTATTTTTTAAAACTTTCTTATATATAACTTCTTTATAAGATAAGAGATTCTTTAAGCGAAGTAAGTATACTTAAAAGACTATTATTTAAAATATTTATAATCTTCTTAACGTCTTAAATAATTAAGAAATAAATATATTAAACTTTTATAAAGAAATAACCTTATCTTAAGCTTTATAATAAAAAAATTTATTCTTAATACTAAATAATTTCGATATATTTTAAAGAGACTTTATTATTCTCTAGTATATCTAATATTTCTAATATTTATTCTTTCGAAGTATTTAAACTCCTCTTTACTTTATTTTAAATCTTTCTTTCTTCTTTTCTATAATAAAATCTAATATTAAAAAAATAGATTAAATTAAGATCTTATTAGAGTAAATTAAGTTTTAATAAATATTAATTCTATTAAATAATACTCTTAATAAGATAAACTCGATAAATACGTCTTAGAATATTATTATTAATTTATAATTAATAATATTAAATTAAGTATTAACTCGAAGAATTTATAATTATATTAAATAAAATTTATTAGAAGTAAGATAATTTTTAAAAGATTATTATTTAATATTATATCGTTATAATAGAAAAGAATCTAGCTATAAATGATTTATATTAAATTTATAAAATAATTAAGAAAATAAATTAACTAATTTAAGATTTTTAAAAGAATATAATTTTTCTATAGCGGAAAGTTAATAGTCTTAATATATAATCGATAAAAGATTTATAATTATTCTTAATCGAGAAGAAATATATATCTAGATATTTAAAAGAGAAATTAATTAAAGTTCTAGATCTATCTTTATTTATTAATAATAGTAATCTTATCTAGAATAACTAGTTCTTTAAAATAAAATAGAAATTTAAGATTAATAGCGATTATTATTTTATCGAGAACTTTAAAATAATCTATATAATCTTATAACTCGATAATAAGATTATATAATATACGATATATAAAAGACTTTAAAACTCTATTAACTTATATTAATCTTTTATTAAGATTATAAATAAGTTAATCGATATCTATAAGAACTTAAATTAACGTAGTAATATATTATATAATATATATACTCTATAATAAAAAACCCGACTCTTTATCGACTTCTATTTAGACTTTATTCGATTAAATACTATTTTTAATATTAAAAAAACTCTTATATTAAAAAATTATCTTTTTAAGAAATTAAGAAAGAAATTAAAGAAGATATAATAGATTATAGAAGATTTTACTATCTTAAAGACTATAAAAGAATATCTTTAAAAGCTAAATAACTTATAACGTATTAATTATAAGAATTTTAAGTTTATAAAAACTATTATTAAGTTAATTATAATATAAATATTAACGATAATACCCGCGACTAATATACGTCTTATATCTATTATTAAATCTAATTTAAGTATAATTACTATATCTCTAAACGTTATAATTAATTCGAAATCGAGAAAATTAATATACTATAACTATAATAAGAAAGGCTATTATTAAAAGAATTATATAATAATTATTTAAATCGAGATTAATAAAAAGATCTTTAAAAAAGTATAACTTTACGCGATAGAAATAGATAAAGAATTTGAAATTAATAACGTCGATATTATAAATAGCGATAATTTTTCTTTAAATTCGAGAAATAAATAGTCTCTTTTAAAGTTATAATAAGAGATATTTATAAAGTGTATTTAATAGATACCTCTAATAACGCCTTAGTACGTTATTCTTTTCGTATATAAATTACGCTATCTTTATAAGAAAGAGAGTATTTACTTTAAAACTCTCTTATAAATAATAAATATATCGATATTTATATAGTTATAAATAAGTTCTTAGTCTTAACAATATATAAGATCTTATATTTAAAATTACTCTTATTATTATAATCTAAATTACTAAGAAATTACGACGGCTAGATCGTAAAACGATTAATTATATATTATTTACTTTCTACGATAATAGTAGAAGGCTATCGAGAAGAAATATATTTAATATTAATTATACTATTAAAATATAATATAATAATTAAAAAATCTTAAATAAATAAATACGAGATAATTCTTAATATATTATAAGATAAGATACTCTTTCTATTCGATCGATATAATTATAATAATAATTAGATATTAATAATAGACGAACTCTTTTTTCTATTAATTTCGAAGCTTCGACTATTTATATTACTTACTTCTTTATTTATTATATTAAAATAATAAAGTCTTCTCTTATCTATTTACGATAATAAGATTAATTCGAATATCTTTTTATTAAATAAGAATAAGAATAGTAAGAAGTCTAAATTTATTAATATCGTTAAGATTAATATAGCGATCTACTATTAACTAGCCCGTAAAAAAGATAATAAACTATTTATATTAATAATAAATAAGATTTATAATAACTTATTAATATTATATACGCCTTTTATTATATAAATAGCTCGCGAACCTTATATATTAATTAATAAATTCTATCTTTATAATTTAGAAAAGAAATATAAAAGATATTATAATTTTAATTATCTTATTTAGATTAATAATATTAACGAGATTAATTCTAAAAAGATAAAATATAAGTTATCTTCGAAGTATTATAACTATTTAAATATTTTTAATAGAATTATATTACGAGCGTACTCTTAATACATCACTCAGCTCTATAACTAGCGGGCCTTGGCGGAGGCATCCTCTATCATATTATGTCTCCTTCCCACATACATACTTCGATAGCCTTATTATCCTCGTTCTATCTTACCCATACTAATATCGTATCTATACTAGTTCTAACATTATAATAAGATTCTTTTATACCCCCTCGACGAAGAGAAACTTAAATAAATAAGATGTATCTGGGTAACCAGTTACACACTCGAGGATAGCGGAGTAACTAACAATAGCTATCAAAGACCTACCCCCTTTCATTCGGATTAGCGGACGAATATAAAAAGAAACGCGCTAGCAGGGGCTTTGTTAAGACGCCTTAAATGGATGAGACATCGTATTCCTGGGAAAGCCCACCATACGGGTAAATCGATTCCAAAGAGCACCTAACGGGACAGCGGAACGGCCTCGCCAGAACAGTAGGCGAGGGATAAACAAGGCACTGGGACTATTCGTACGACTAGCGAATTGATAGTAGAAAGAAATCGTCATAAACAAACTACCCACCATAGTGAGCCTGCTACAATGGCGACGGGAACAGCCCCGAAACGACTACGATTCGACCTCTTCATTGAGCATGTCGACAACACACACAGTGAGCCTGCTACAAGGGCAGCAAACGTACGATCTCTTCACTGAGCATGTCGACAACACACATAGTGAGCCTGCTACCAAATGGCATTCAACACATTCGATTCTTTCTCTACCTCCCTATCAAATCCCACGAATCGGCAAGTGCTTGAGTTACGGGAGTCGTCTACGTCAGTCAGGTCGTTGGCTGCTGAGTACTCGCTATGGCAGCTTAGGACGGGTAGGCCTACGGGGTATCGGCAGTCGAAGCGGTAGGCTTACAAAGCGGATGGATGCAGTGGACGACTACCAAGCAAGATAGCTATGAGTCGAGACAAAGGATGGAATGGATGTACTTGATGGCAAGAGCATGGGAGATATAGGGCAAATCTACAGTGAAGCTCCCAGGCCAGGCTGCCAAAAGGTGTTGGAGGATGACACATACATGCGTTGGATTTTCTTCAATTCTACCGATGGACTTGATGGCAAGAGCATGGGAGACGCAGGGCAAATCTACAGTGAAGCTCCCAGGCCAGGCTGCCAGTAGGTGTTGAAGGCGAAAAAAGTGGAGGACTATGACAAGCAGACTGGGCAAGGAGAAGAACTCGGAGAATCTTGCTGGCACGCAGGCAAGATGTGGACTACATCTCCGGGATCTCTGTTCCGTGCACTCAGTCAAGACCAAAACCATCCGATGTTCTTCAGAAAATCGATCGCCAAGACTCGGATTTCGACTGCTGCAGCAATACCACACCTTGGCAAATCTTCTCCAATCAAGGTCTGCCGGGATTATGGATGTTTGAAGATACAAGGCAAGCAATGGGCCTGCATCTCCGGTCTACCAGCCATGGGGGCCATGGCTATTTGAGAGGGGGGGGTAGTGTTACGAGCGTACCCTTGACACACCACTCAGCCCTATGGCTAGCGGGCCTTGGCGGAGGCATCCCCTACCATATCATGCCTCCTTCCCACATACATAGTTCGGTAGCCTTATTATCCTCGTTCTACCTCACCCATACTAGTATCGCACCTATGCTGATCCTAACAAATTAAGGCGAATATACTTCTCTTATATTATTCTTATAATTACAAGCTTAAATTTAACGATAGCTTTAATAAAACGAAATTTTCGAAAAGTAAGATCTATTTAATATTAGAATATAAATTAAAATAAATAAAGAAGTATCTAAACGAATATCTAAAGAAGAGATTTATAATATTAAGTTATATATTATTCGTCTTATTTATTCTATTCGCGAAAAAGCTAAATAGAGAATTACGTTTTTGTGTGGACTATTAAAAGCTAAACGCTATTATTAAAAGAAATCAATACTTAATCTTATTAATAGATAAGATTTTAATAAGAATTTAAAGATATAAATATCTTATTCGATTAGATATTATAGCCGCGTTTAATAAACTATATATATATTTCGATAGCGAGAATTTTACTACTTTTATTATCTCTCTTAAAGTATATAAATATCGAGTTCTCCTCTTCGATTTAATTAACGACTCGATTATATATTAATAATATATAAATAATATTCTATTTAAATATCTAAATAATTTCTATTAGATTTATCTCGATAATATACTTATTTATAATAAGATAAAAAAGAAATATATTTAATACGTTAGATAAATCCTCTAGAAATTAAGAGATATCGATCTTTAGATAAATATTCTTAAGTATAAATTTTACGTCTAGAAAACTAAATTTCTAGATTTATTAATATCTATAGACGGGTTATAAATAAACTTTATTAAGATTTAGATTATTATCGAGTAAATTATATCTATTAATCTTAAAGAGATATAAATCTTTATTAAATTTTATAATTTTTATCGATAATTTATTAGAGACTTCTCTAAAATAGTTAAATCTATAATAAAACTTATAATAAAGAAGATTATATTTAATTAATCTCTAGTATATTAAGAGATCTTCTACTTTCTTAAAGTTATCGTTATTAAAGCTTTAGTCTTATATTATTTTAATAAAATAAAGAAGATTATTCTAGAGATAAACTCTTTTAATTATATTAATAAAGATATTTTTTCTTAATATAACGATAAGAGAATACTTTATTTAATAGTCTTTTATAATAAAAATCTAATCTTAATCGAGTATAATTACTAGATCTACGATAAGAAACTATTAATAATTATTTACTATCTAGAATACTAGCGCTCTAAACTAAAATATATAAATATTTCTATTAAAATCTTTATCGATTATAAAAAACTAATATATTTTATTAAGAGAAGAAATCTTAGTTAACGCTAGATCTAATATTTAGATATATTATTAAAATTTAATATAAAGATTATTTATTAATTTAGATCTTAGAATATTAAGATTAATATATTTATATAAATAGCTAAATATAAATTAATCGATTTTAAAAATAAATAATTACGCTAATAGTATTAAATAATCTTTATTTTTAAATAAAATAGAATTAGATAGCGAATATATTAATATATATATAATCGATAATTTTATTTATTATAAAGTAGTAGAGACTAATAAAAAAGATAAATATTATATAAAAATTTATAAGACTATCGCTAAAAATAAGAATAAGTTTTAAGAGATTACTCTTAATAAATACTTCGTATAAGACGAGATACTTTATTATTAAAATTGTTTATAAATATTTAATAATATATATATTAATATTATTTAAGAGATCTACGATTAATTATTCTACGATTATCTCGAGATAGTATATATTTATAAACTACTTAAAAGAGAATATTATTAACGAGATATAAGGGCTATTATAGTTATCTACGTTAAGAATTATTATATCTATTAAAGAGCTAAGACGCCTCGCGATCGAGAATATAATTTACTATAATCTCTATTAATCTTATAGAAATAATAATAAAATATATCGATTAACTTCGTTATAGATTTATTTATATTTAATAATTATAATACTATTTAAATAGTAATTAATTAACTTATTAAGAAATGTTACTATATAATCTATTCTAATATTAATAAAGATATTATCGCTAAGAAGATAATTAACTTATTATTTAAGAAAGTATTTCATTTATATAATCTATCGATCTTAATAATATTAGATTAAAACTTTTAATTTATAATTACTATATAAAAATCTTTTTATAAAAGATTAAATATTATAGTTAAACTATTAATAGTCTTTTATTTTAAAATTAATAAATAAATTAAATAAGCGAATTAGAATATAAAGCGTTATCTTCGAATATATTATAACTATATATAAAACGACTAGATAAGATAATTATTTATTATCGAGTTTATTAATAATAATACTATCTTAGCGACTACTAGTATTTTATCTTTTCTTATAAATAAAAAATTTTATTCTCGAATAACTTTTAGTTTAAATATTATTAATTATAAGATTATATATAAGTATCTTAATACTATTTAGATAAAGAATATTATAAATTATATAAAATAAGTTTTTAAGTATATTTAAAGTAATATAGATCGTATTTAGAAGGCTATAGTTATATAAGCTAATAAATATTAATAAAAGATTACTTTTTAAATAGATAATAAGATCTTTCTAAATAATAAGAATATTATCTTTAATCGTCTTTTCTATAAACTAGATTATAAGAGACTTAATTTATTCGAGATTATAGACTTTATAAGAATTTTATATTATTTAAAACTTTCGTTAATTATAAGAATTTACGATATCTTTTACTTTAATCTCTTAGATTTTATAATAAATAACCTCTTATTAGAGTAGATAAATCCTTCGTCAAAATATATTACTATTAATAATTAAATTAAATAAGTTATTAAAGAAATACTTATCTTTAAATTAATTTATAATCGTTTTAAGTATAAAGTTAAATAAGAAAATCTCGATAATAATCTCGTCTAATATAATATAAATAACGATAAATTCGAAAATTATTAGAATCTAATAAACGACTTTTATAAGCGATATTTTAAAAAGTCTTATCTATAAAGAAATTAAGGCGAGAAACCTTTAATAGCGATAGCGTTCTCGAGCCGAAACTATCTTGAATACCTTATTTTTAATTAAATTAAAATCGTCCGATATCTTTATAATAGCCTTATTTTTTTCAAAATCGAGAATCGATCTTTTAGATCTATATTAATTAGAAATTATCTTATATATAATCTTTTATATAAATCTTCGTTACTAATATAACTCTAAAGATCTTTCGAAGCTATATTAATATATATATAAATTATATTATTACTATTATAAAATATAATTAATATTAACTAAATAATATATTATAGAAAAGACTATATTAAAGTTATTTAATATTAAATTAGAGTTTTTAGCGTCTATAGCTTAATTCGATTTAAGAGCCCTTAATTAATTACGTTATATTATTTTATAGATATTTTATTCACTTAAATATAAATTCGAAAATTATTATTATTTATATCTATATCTATAAATATAGTTTTTATTATATTATATCGATTTTCTCTTAGCTAGACTCTCTATATATATCTATATCTCGACTAGCGATATCGCTATAGCGTAAATATAAAAAGCTATTATTATTCTTAATATCTCTTATAAAGAAAGATATAATACTAGAGTTCTCGAATACGGTTATTTCTTTACTACTTTTATTATTTTTCAGACGTTAAGCGTATATATATATTCATTTTTCTATCTTTTTACTTATTAATTATAGAATATAATTTAATAAAGAGGGGGTAGTATTATAAGCGTATTCTTAATATACTTCTTAGTTCTATAACTAGCGAACCTTAACGAAGATATCTTCTATTATATTATATCTTCTTTTTATCTATATAGTTCGATATCTTAATTATCTTATTTAATATATCTATATTAATATTATATCTATATCGATTCTAATATTAATATTCTTCGCTTATTAAGTAATAATTTAATATAGAATCGTAAAGAGTATATAACGTAGGATCTTAAAGAGCTAAGCCGTATTCTTAACGATAGTAATCTTATTACTACTTAATTTCTTCGTAGTATTCTTCGTAGTATTCTTCGTATTTATCTATTATAGTTTCTTCTCTTACTTCTTCTCTTATAGAGTATTAGATTAAGTAGCTAGTTAAGTAATATACTAAGTAAATAATTAATATAACGTAAAATCTTAAAGAGCTAAGCCGTATTCTTAACGATAATAACCTTATTACCGCTTAATTTCTTCGTAGTATTCTTCGTATTTATCTATTATAATTTCTTCTCTTACTTCTTCTTTTATAGAGTATTAGATTAAATAGCTAGCTAAGTAACTAACTAAGTAAATAACTAATATAATATAAAATCTTAAAAAGCTAAGTCGTATTCTTAACGATAATAGTCTTATTATCGCTTAATTTCTCCGTAATATTCTTTATAGTATTCTTTATAATATTCTTTATAATATTCTTCGTAATATTCTCTATATTTATCTATTATAATTTTTTCTTTTACTTCTTAATATAGTAGAGATAATAGACTAAGTTATAATAATATTCTTCGCTTATTAAATAATAATTTAATATAGAATCGTAGAGAGTATATAACGTGGGATTTTAAAGAGCTAAGTCGTATTCTTAATATTAAAGATCTTATTATTACTTAGTTTCTTCGTAATATTCTTTATATTCGCTTATTATATTAACTTCTCTTATACTAGTTAAGTAAATTAATATAAAATCGTAAAGAGTAAACTTATTATATTATTACTATTAATAACTATCTTCGTAATATTCTTTATAATATTCTTTATATTCGTTTATTATAGATTCTTCTCTTATTTAACTAAGTACGAGAGTATCGAGGATAAATATATTTATATTAATAGAATTAATAGAATTAATAAAATAATAAAAGA